TGCAAGGTGTCTCTGAAATGGTCAATTTGAATTGCTGGAGTTTAAATAAAATGAGAAGAGTAGGCCTAAAAAGAAAAATATCTGAAGAACATTTTTCATTTTAACTTTCTTAATCTTACAAAATATCTGTCGTGTGTATGTGGACCTCATCTTCTTTGACTTGTTGTTGCACAAAATCGACAAACATTTTTCAAAGCAACCGCCATTTACTTTCTTTCTAACTTTCTGCTGCACATGAATCTCCTCTGAGCACAGCCGTTAATTAATTACAGCCTTGGAAGCTTAACTCGCTCACGCTGCCAGTAATTATGCCGCGGGGTATTCATGGCACAGACCGTGATCACAAGATACTGCCAAAAGAGTTTTAGATTTTTAGAAAATAGATTTTTCATGTGAACGGTCCCAAAGACCCTAACTTAAATATGTCATCAATTTTTTTTCAGTCATTCACAATTTATTTTTCATGTACAAAGGTGGGCACTTTTTCCTTATCTGCACTCATCCTTAAAATAAAATTTAATTAAGACACATTAAGAACTTATCAATGACATTAGCTCATACAGTGGCAGTGGAGATCCAAGGTGTAAAATGAGGTAAAATCACTACAATTATTGACCTCTAGTGACTGCCTCTTAACCAGTTGGCAATCTTCAAAAATAATGATTATGCAAGTGTAGTGTTGATAAATAGAACCAGAATAGTTGGACACCTCCTTTATAACATTTAAGTATTTAGTTCAAAAGAATTACTATTGTTAGGCCACTTATGTAATGTTTACTTCTTGTTATATTTTTCAGGTTGCCCCCCCTATGGACTTATACAATCTTGGTTGTTATTCTGGTGGTGCAAAAACTGTGAGATCTGCTCCACAAAGGAGTTCACACCCATTGCCAGGTGTGGAACTGCAGAGGCATGGTGGCAACCACTTTCAGTTGAGACCAAACCAGCAGTATTACCAGCAAGGCCCATACCCACAGAATCAGCCTAGGATTCAATCCAACACTGGCAGCCAGTTGTTGCAACAAGGCAATTTCCAATCTCAGACACTACCTGGTGAGTCAACAGGACCAAATCAACGCCAAGAAGGACAGGAAAGCAGACTACCTCAGGGACCAGTCACTGACCACCACCTGGAGGAACAAGGTGGCGTCCACTTTCAAACAAGTAGGCAATCAGGCCATGACTTCCCAACTTTACCCCAACAACAGGATCCTGTGGCTGCTGGGGATCAAGACCAGGGTGACCTTCAGACTATCAGAAGAACGGGAAATACAGTTCTTAATCAGGCTCATGGGGATAACCAGCTAGAAAGGTTACCTACAGCAGTGCCTCATGAGATAGCTGGGGTTTTAAGACATATCACCGCTAATGCAGGTAACATGCATATTACATTCAATGTTTACCACAATTACTCAGGAAAGGAATCAATGACACACATGAAAGAGAACGATGTGACAGCCTCATTTCATAAACATATCCCTCCAAGTGTGAAAAAATGATTAAATGAGACACTTTCTCAAGATGGTGTATGGGGCCAAGTGATGAAGATGTGTGGCATTTCAGATGAAACCCCATGTCCTCCCGATGCTGTGGCTTCTCTGTTGTCTCAAGTCAAGGGTTCCATTGCATCTTTCATCAGTGTGTTGTTAAAGTTAAAAGAATGCCATAGAGAAGGGCAGCAAGACATTCCACAAGACTTGATTGATGAAGTCAAGGTAATTGATGCTATGGTCTAAAATATAGTCAAATAAAGTAACCAGTCTTTTAAATTTTAAAATGACAATGTATGTTTTGACTCCAAAACCATTTTTCCACATTTCAAACGTATTCTTTCACTCTAGTATCTTAATTTTAATTCAACAAAGTTTTTCATTTCTTCTCCAAGTGAAAGAATAAGAGCTAGAACTAAATGTATGAGACAATGAGTTCAGTTGGCTGTTTGGGATTATTAAGTGAATTGTTAGTTGTTTACACAACATCATGGTTTGAATGAATAGAAGTTGTAAATAAATGTGATCTATTATATTTCTCTTCTAGAAAGGACTTCTGAGTGAAATGGAGTACAACAGACTGAGAGAGAAAGTGGTTGACTTTGCTGAGGAACTTTCCATTCATATAGAAAGAACTTTAGATTACCTGTATCAGTTTAGTCTAATACCAGATGAGGAGACAACAAAGCTTAAAAATGAGGCAAAGAGAAATCCACAAGAAGCTTGTAGAAATTTGTTTAAAGCACTCCTGGCAACCAGTCCTAAAAAAGAGCCAATTAAACATCTGAAAGCTGCATTCAGGGATTCTGGTCTCTTGTATATGGCAGATGAACTGGAACTCAGCTACCAGAACATAGAGGATGAATTACAGAAACATGGAAGTGGCCAACCTTCTTGTGAAGAGCCGATGGCGATAGGAATGTCAGCTCCCCCCCACACCTGCAACAGGTGAAAACCCTATTGGAGAACATTAAAACTGTTTGTACATTATTTGACAGTATGTATCAAGATTGTTTATGCTATTTGGGTCACCGTGGACTAAGAACATATGGTGTATTGCCACATATATTGACATCAGACAAATAAAGTGATTCTCTGTATTTACTGATTTTGAACAAGTTTGCTGTTAAACTATAGTGACGTTCATATTTGCAGTTCAGCATCAACTGTGACCCTAACTTTTAACAGGAAGATGACAGAAATTTTAAGCAAAACCCATTGGCCCATGAAACCATCAATACTGTTAGGGGACTTCAATGTTGATTTGTCTTACAGTAGATCTAGAGCTCCTACAACCTCTGTTTATGTTCCTCTTTTATAATACCACCAACAAGTTATTGTCTCACCAACATTGAGGTGTATCAAAGACACACTAGTGTTTTTGACCATTTTTTATGTACAAGGTGTAAAACCAGTAGAAACAGGTACACTGCACCTTTTACAGTGCCATGTTCCTGTATATGCTATTATACCCATCTGTTTTAACTAGCTTATAAATTACTCCTTTAGTTCATTCCCACAAACAAAAATGGATATTTGTAAAAAGCACTGTATATATGTTAAAAAGCATCCATATGTATTTTATGTAAATATATTCTGATAATGTCAACACCATGTAATTTATGTAAATATATCCCCTTAAAGATGGCAACACTACAAATACGTGGGAAGGTGTTTTAATATGTAAAAGAATAGTTTGTATAGTATAGTTTGATAATTTTACTAGTGTATGCATGTAAGTCCATTTATTATTTTGATATTATTCAAGGTGGATGTTTTTATATGAAGTATTGTATTGAATTATATTTACAAGAACACTGTATATATGTAGAAAGTTTTAATAAGCACTTTATGTTAATATATATTCCCTCAAAGAAGACAGCACCACAGATATTTATCAGGCCTACCCAACTACCAGACTCGGCACATAAGGTTCCTGAATTAACCGGTATATCGGACCACACTACCCGTTTTCAAAGGTGTGTGTCCGATCGCATTTCGGAGTATCAGTCAGAACACCGACAGGATGAGCCTGCAGTTGTCCTACAAAATTTGTTCTGGGGTATGATACTCCAAATTGCAATATGACACACACCTTGAAAACTGATATACCGGTTAATTCAGGATCCTTATCATGTGCCGAGTCTGGTACAGGTATGATATTATAGTATACTTTGTTCTCATTCACAGAGTATAGATTGACAGATATCTTAACTTGCTTGTTTATGTATAAAAGTTCATCAATTAGTTTTACATTACCCGTTGTAGATATTTGAATATTTAAATTTTTTTTGTATTCTTTAACACTGTATATGTGTAAAAAGTTTTAATATGTAAGTTAAGTAAATGTATTCAGTCAACAATATGAACATCATATATCATATCTTACTTCAGTATATTTATATATTCCCTCAAAGATGTCAACAGCATAAATATATATGTATATGGAAAGATGTTACAATACGGAACATATTGAATGTATTTGATCTAATATGAACATACATGTACATTTATGTATATTAGTTCATTAATTAGTTTTAGATTATTCATGGCTTTTATTAAATCACCATACATATAAATGGAAAGATGGTTCAATATCCAGCATATGTTAAGATATTATAAGGTCACTTACAGAGAACTTATATTGAAAGATGTTTTAATTTAATAGCTACATGTATTGTACGGGTGTGTATACGACTTCATTTATCAGTTTTAGGTTAATTATGTGGCTTTTGCAAAATTACCACAATATGGACCTTGCAAATAAACTAATTTCTAATTCAAGTTGTCTTACTTGTATCTTTAAAATATAGGCCTTTATTTCGCCTTTCTTTTACGATACTTTATAAAAGCAAATTTTATTATTTAAAGAAAGGGAGGGTTGCAGATGTCAGCCACTGAAAATTATAACACCTCAATACAACATAATAGTCAAAATTGCTGCCCAGATCACAGTGCTAAAACGTATTTTGATAGAAAACAATCCTCAGAGAGACCACTAGCCTACAAAAGCATAACATGTTCACCGTGATACAGCTGCTATAAAAGGTAATTGAAATGTCTAAGAGAATATCTTATTCCAATAAACTATATATCTGGGTACCAATGTGTCATTTGCCCAATATCTAAAGTAGCCTCAATTCCCAGATATCTTCAGAGAGAGAGTAGAGCGTTTGCCTCTGCTTTATAAACACTGAAACCTCTTATTTTAACTTCTTCAAATTTTAGTTTCCTGTAAACAACACAGATACGGGGAATTTATATAAAATAATAATAAAAAAACAAATATAATACTCGCATAAATAAAAAATACATATTTGATGATCTGTAGAAAATATAGAGCCTAAAAGTGCATTTATCAACCTGAAATGTATTAAGTTGAAGCCGTTTGTTATTTTGTGTGTAAACCTGCACATAAATACCCAGCACATCGACTGTGTATTCTTTTTGTCTCCCTACCGTGTGTTAATAGATATGTTTGAATTAAAATAATAAGATTGTCTTACTCAGTGGCGTATTAAGGGAGGGGGTTCAGTGGGGTCCTGACCCCCCCCCCCCCCCTCCTTCGGTTTCTGAAAAAAAAATCACACTAAATATTACCCTTTTGAAATGAGAATTTTAAGTTGCTGATTTATAGTTCTTAACTGTTCCAAAAGGCACCGTTTGGCATTCAAAACACCAAAATATTTTGGGGCCCTTCAGCGGTCCCCCAACCCCACCACAAGGGGGCTGAGGGTAGGCTTCGAATCCGAGGCCTGTCATTTGTAAAAGACACTGACACCCCCTTCAAAACCTGGATCTACCCCTGTCTAACCACCTGTATAATGCGTTCAGGAGACAAAAATGGTGTCTTCTTTGTAAAATTGTTTGGCAAATATGCTTAGGCGGGGATGTTTTTTGTTCTTTATCCTTTACCAGCTACGTACGCCACAGATCAAACTCAAATGAAGTCAATAGGTAACCCGGCATGGCGGCATGAATGTCATACTTCTCAGCAAGTTTTTTTTTCAAAAGTCACGTCGCCCTTATCACTATCAGTGATCTCTCAGTAATCTTTCTTGAATTTAGAATTTTGGTCAGCTGATTCATAGTTCTCAACCGTACCAAACGGAACCGTTTGCCCCCCAAAACACTCCACGGAGGCCGACAGTCGGCTTCTTATCGGAGGCTTGTCATTCCTAAAAAAAACGATCACGTAAGATTGCCACCTGACATTTGGGTGCTTTGGGGCCTGTGAAAGGGAATCCCCCCCCCCCCCGCCCCAGGACGAATAATCTGTATGAACTCTGCAAAGTGGTACGGTGCACAGTAGCGGATTTGGGGGGTGTCAAGTAGTTCTTGACCCCTTCGATTTCTGAAAAAAACATCAAATCAATGGTCCTCTCTTGAAATTAGAATTTTGCCAAGCTGAATCACAGTTATCAACCGTACCAAGTGGCACCGTTCGCCCTCTAAAATACCAACATTTTTCCGGTCCCTTAAGCGGGCCCCGGACCCCAGTCCAAAGGAGGGGGGGGGCGTCGGCGTTGCATCCGCGGACCCCCCCCCTCTCAAAAATCCTGGGTCTGCCCCTGTCCGACACCCATATTCTTTCTTAATTATATCATGCTAGTTTCCAGAGTTTGACTCTCGATTTATACCGGTCACTTAGCAGGTGACAAGATGATACAACGATTAGCGTAGCATTTATATAAGTAATGGATTAAGACAGACATGGAGTATTCGTTATATTTAATGATATATTCACACATGGAAAAGTGTATCAACATTTTTGGGCAACAATGTATTTCTTGTTACGTTTTATTAAACTTCATTATTGTGTTCTCAGATCTGAGGTTAATTATTTCCACGATATGATTTCTCGCTTGAGAGAGTTATCTTAGGTGGTAGTGACATTAGGAAGCCATCTCCGTGCGTTTTATTGAAATAACCCCTCTAACAACGCAGGTTTTGCTCTCAGCGGTATCGGTTATCTGGACAACATATTTTGTAAAACAGTTTTCACAAAATTTGATACGGGTGGTTCAAAGGAAGCAAAGAAATGATTACAAATTAAACAGGCTCTCGATCTTGTATTCTCTTATGCTTCATCACCATTTACATTTTGGTGAAGGTTTCCATTCAATTGTGGGGAGATCTGGAGTTTCATTGGTTTAATTGAGAAATACAGGATGAGGGTAAACTGTGCGTAGTCTTCAGTAGTAAAACTGGGATATTAAATAAAAAGAATAAAAAAAACAACATACACGTTACCAGAGGAAAGTGGCCTGCAAGTTTGGTTCTTCTCCACCCTCACCTCTCTCCCTCTCTGTTTCTCTCCATCTCTCTTACTCTCTCCCTGTCCCCCTCTATATCTCCCTCTCTTTTTCTCTCTGTGTGAGTACTAGATTCTCTCTCTCTCTCTCTCTCAAACACTGTATTTCACATGTACAGTATATGTACACAAGGTATTGTTTTAAAACGCCTTAGGTTGTATTGTGCATAGCAATTGTACAGTAATTTTACAGTGGCTGATTTGCTACATTACTATAGCTTTTGTAAGCAACGTGTTCAAATAAACAAAAAATAGTTAATTTTTAGTCCAATTTTGTTCAATTTTCTTTTTTTTAAATCTCCAAACAATTTGCTTTAACATGGAGTCACCCAAGAGAAACATAACCTTTATTTTACATTCTCAGGTGAAGCAGAGCTTTTTGGGAGTTGTACTGAGATGGCTCCAAATCACAAGTCTACAGCACGGCCACTGAGAACCAACGTGCTGCAGGATGAGGTGACCGTTAGTGAGGACGCGGAAGTGACCATTACTGTGGACAACACAGAGTTCGTGTTCTCTGCCGCCAGCGAGGTGTCAGAGTTCCTGACGTCAAGTTATGACATCAACGACACATCATTATTTGACACCATCCCGGACCCAGAACCAGAGATTTTCTACAGTAAGTCGTAATTTTATCAGTTGAATTCGTTCCAAATATGTGGGAAACTTATTTATACACATGAATGACACACACAAACACACACATACACGCGCGCGCGCACGCACACACACACGCACGCACGCACGCAAAAATAATAATAAATAAACGTTCACTCGATAAAAAATGTTGGGCCTTTAGTATGATCTCAAAATTATGGCGATGACGTCGATCTTTACATCTACATGCATTTAACAAACTTGTACAGTGTATCCACTCAATTTCAACAGTGTGATACTATCAAAAAAAGTTGCCAAATTATATCATTATAAAACCATAATAATGACCGTAGAAGGTCAAAGTTATTGGTCACGATCACTTCATCGCTGTAATTACTAGCGGGATCTCGCGGCTTTGCAGCCTAATGCTAAAGACACAGTTCACTCCAGGGAAATGACCACGGTGAGCTGATAAAGGTAGGGTTCTTTGATGCCAGCTCGTTTGAAAACGGAGTCGTTCGTCTCAAAACGCAGCCGTTGTTTTGTACCCTTGTAGATAAAATATCTCCAGTTCCTTTTGGTCCTGATATATTGAGGCTGTAAGATATCCGCGGATGGATACCGCATCAGTTCAGATTGTTCTTCGGGACGTCTTGATAACTTAGTTTGGTTTACCCTTTCAAAGTTTGGCCTTCCAAACATGGGCACCTATCTCGTCTTAGAATAAGAGTTTTTTTTTTCGATTTATATCCATAATAAAATATATATATTAAAAGCCGACCAAACGACCACTCTCAGTACCATCATATGAATAACGACTGCATTTAAAAAAACATTTTTCTCACACCGGATTGTTTTATCACATCCACAGCTGTCCCAAAGTGTAAAGTACCTTACGGAATCCTACCGGATCCATCCGACTGTGGTAGATTTATCACTTGTGTCAACGGAGAAGTGGCCAATGCACAGTTTTGTCCTGATGAAAACAACTTTGACTCCATCACCAGCGTGTGCAAGCACCCACGGGAGGCCATCTGTGAGAAAATGGAGGAACCGCTTAGAAATGTAACCGGTAACGAATTATGTATTGAATTTCCATCCTTGTCAAATAAAAAATCATTTCTTTTCATTTATGAATTAATATCAAATATCTAAAAAGCTTTCTTTTTCTATGGAAGACAATGCGGTCAGTTGCAAAATGACTATATACAATATGATTTCCAACAGAGACAGTCTCTCTCTCTCTCTCATCAGTGTCTGAATCAGTTTTTAAGTGGTTTCTAAAGGATTCTTCTTTTTTCACTTTTGTCATGTAGCTAATTCGAAGTGCGAGAAGTTGACGGACCCCACCACGTGTAACACGTACATAGTGAGGTGCAATAAAGGACCTGAGTACGGAAACCGGACGTACGACATGTACTACGCATGCCCAGGAAACATGATATGGGATGAAGAGAAACTGGCATGTGACGCGACGAGGAAAGTAAAATGCAATAACAGGACACATTATGGTGAGGATTTTTCCTCTCTCTCTCTCTCTCTCTCACACACACACACACACACACACACACACACGCACACACACACACAGTGAAATGAAATAACAAAAGAAATTATAGCACGATGCCTCTTATTCTCTCTCTCTCTCTCTCTTCCTCCGTTTCTCTCTCTCACTCTCTCTCTCTCTTTCACACATATGTAAAAACGATAACTTAACTAACACAGAAGGATTTGTTTTGCAGCCACCCCATTGTGTAAGAAACCCAGCGGGAACTTTGAAGAGCCAGCAGACTGCCGCAAGTTCCTTTCCTGCTATTTATACCGCGTTGTCCGCCACAGACCGTGCCCCGCTGGTCTCTACTACGACCAGGCATCAGACAGATGTGATTATCATTTTAACGTCAGGTGTCATAAGCGGCCCGTGATCGATGTCGTCTTGATGCCTAGGAACACCACCACGGAAGCAGCGCCATCTATGGTCATGTCAAACATCTCAGATGTTGCGACAGGTATTCAGGATCATTGTGCAATTACTTCACACTTCATTTATTTCTTGTTTCTGAAACCAATACACACAGGCATTGATTTTAAAGATGTATGGGATAAACGGTGGAGAGAAATGCACCATTAGAACGACATACTAACTTTTTTGACATTCTTTTACTCAGATTAATTTAAAAATCTATTTAGTCTGGGTTATTATACGTACGTTGAGTTATTACTGTTGATTAAACCTAAGGGTCCACGTTTAGAATGGATGATCCAAGTACTAACTGATACGTGGACTAAATATGGCCGACACCACTTCAAAGGTGATGCCGCTAACTACATGATGGTCTCCCCGCCTCCACACGCACCATTGTTGCAGGGGCCTAGCAATTTAATAACAAACACAGATAAAGGCTCCATTCAGAAAAGATGATCCGAGTACTAACTGATCCGCCTGCTAAATATGGCCAACCACACTTCAAAAGAGCTGCCGCTGATTCTCGATGGTCTCCCCGCCCCCACATGCGCCGTAGCTGCAGGGGCCTAGCAATTAAACCTTGGACCAAGATTAATTCCGTTTATGGTGTTATTCGTTTAATTCCATATTCCAGGCGTCCCTTCTTGTCTGGGTCCAGACGGCCTGTTCCCACACCCGCTTCACTGTAACCAGTACATCGCCTGTTATGGCGGCGTTCCCATGGAGACGTTCATTTGCCCAGAGAACCAGAACTTCGACTTCACGGACGGCCGTTGTAAGAGGGGGGATAACATCACCTGCGTCCAGCGTCCGTGGTTGATGCGGGAAGGTCCTGTACCTGTAGGTAAGGTCAAAACATAGTCTCGGAACACAGGGGCCACAGTACTTAGTATTTGAACACAGGAGCCGCAGTACTTAGTATCTGAACACAGGGGCCGCAGTACTTACTATTTGAACACAGGGGCCGCAGTACTTAGTATCTGAACACAGGGGCCGCAGTCCTAAGTCTCTGAACACAGGGGCCGCAGTACTTAGTATTTGAATACAGGGGCCGCAGTACTTAGTCTCTGAACACAGGAGCCGCAGTACTTTAACTGTGTATCCTATTTTAGAGGTTCCTGATATCAGAGGATGGCCAAGACACCACTGGATTCGGGGTTTGGGGAAAGGGGGACCTATAGGTATGAACTGATAGTAGACGATAACTGTACTGCAACATATTAAAAAGACACAAGGAAGGAAATGTTGACTGGTCTGAACTTGTCAGTCTTTTTTTTTTTTTGGGGGGGGGGGGGACGAAGGGGGAAATGAAGTACTTCTTAATGAGTGGGGGCAATGGCCCATCAATTCAAGCACGTACGTAAATCATATTACAATAAGAACCGAGTCAAACAATTCCCAAATTTTTACTTTTTTTTCAGTTGGTAATGGCAGCTGCACGTTTTCTCAGGACGACACCAACTGTGGAGGCTTTGTCCTCCACTGCCTCAACTCCACAGTGAACTACTCCTGTCCCGGGGAACTGAGGTACGACGAGAACACCGCAGAATGCAAGATGGCCGCCGATGTTGACTGTAACGGCAGACCAGAATATAGTAGGTCAAATCTATATTCAACCTGAGATATTTAGTTCAATGAACTGTCACTATGCGGTTGGTATGAAACCAGTTCTGGTGCAGTTTTACATACGTCATCGTTTAGACTCTATAAACAAGTACTATCTGACCACAGGGGGCGCTGGCAGTCT